GTTCAAAACCAACTTGCAAAACTATGCAGCACCAGATTGATTGTTTACAACCAGCCTATTGATTGTTTACAACTATGGGGTTCAAAACCACAACTACCACAACTATGGGGTTTTTCCAGCCAACAACTTATTGATTGTTTACAAAAAAGGCGGTTAGTTTTTTTGCAGAAAACCATCCGTCACCCAACACTTTTTTCGACCCTGCCATGAGTTGGATATTTTGGAGGATGGTAAAAAAAAATGGTATTTGGGGATGAAGATTTCACAAAGAGACGTTTTCAAATAGGAGACCTATATCAAACAAGTGTATAATTTTAATATTGTGATAATACTGATAATACCTGATATTTGGAGAATACCTGATATTTGGAGGAATTTTGGAGGATTGTTTTTTTTGATTCACTACTGTTTTTTTTCAAACAAAGTGCCTATAATCCCAAGTAGTAACTGCCTGGTCACTGTTAGAATCTCTCTGGGATGACCCCTGTTTTCACATTTGCTTAAGATGTCCCTTGTCCTGGTTCATTGTATCATGAAGTATCAAGATTCTAACGTTATAATATATATATATATGTTCAATTCTGTACATATATAATATATCATTATACATCTCATTATATCAGCATGATAACCTATAAAAGCCAATGTTTCCTCTGTGTACAGCTCCATTTTTGTTGGTTTACATCCAGCAATGCTTCCCCTGGTATTTGTTTGGCGAAAATTCTGCACAGGGATTGGCATCTTTGGAGGACGTCGGAATAATGGGAGGATGATAGGCGTTATTGATGGGATGGGAATGGATTAATGAATGTTAATGTTGTAAAAAAAAAAAGTGTATATCATGGGATAACCTGGATATAAATGATATAAACCAAACTTGATATCTCCCAAGAACGGTGGGGTTATTTGCAATTCAAACTGTGATTTCACCATCAAGTTTCTGGGATTTCATGGAGCAATTGACCAACAGACATGGGGATATCAAAAAAAATCCATGGGGTATAATAGGGACACATCATTTGGGGATGGAAATGGATCCATGTTGTAACATTTTAAACACACAATAAGAGACCATGCCAGATTGGGGTTTATTGTGCGTGATCCCATCCCCCGTTAGTCACATGTGGTTTCATCCACTACATGGGATTAAGGGGCATTGAATTCCCCATGTTTTTCTTAGTGGTCCTGTTCAAACTCCTGGCGATTTGTTACTGTAACCATCAACAATTGGACTTCAACCAACTAATCTATTATCAGGCTATTTATTCATCTGGGAAAAACAATCATAAATGGTTTATACCACCTATTTATGGTGATTTGGGGGATGGATTATTATTGTTTTACCCACATTATATATATATATATTAATATACATATGTGTAGTGTTTGAAATATTGGGATTTTCGGATTACGGTATATTTCCATTTAACACATCAGTATTTCTCATTGAATATGGGACTTTCCGGCCATTGTTTTCCTTCAACCGATCCAATGAAATGGAATAATGCTTGTTTCTTTGTACCCTCCGGTAATCAAACATGGCAACGAACAAGTCCCATTTATAGATTATAGATGATATTCATAATCAAACCTCCATTTATAAGTGATTTCCCATTGGTATGTTTGATTACCGAAGGGTATTTGCGATGATCGCCAAGCAAATCCACCAAGAAATCCCACGGCCGGTCGGATGAAGTCGGTTGGATACCTATGTTGACTGTCTTGTTGCGTTGTGTCGCCTGTTTGGAGACTCAACCTGTTTGGGAACTGGTTTTAGTCAGCTAAGTTGGTTTATACCTAGGCCAACTGTTGGGTTTATGGTATAGCAACCCCAAGCCATAGATAGAAAAAATGGAAACCTGGAAGTATGTATTGGATATATATTTGGATATCATATGTGATCTCCTGGAAACACTTCTTTTTCTGATGGCTATAACTTGGGTACCACATTGTGACTATGATTTTCCGCATCATATCCGTCCTGGTGTAGGACAGAATATGGAGCTGGACCCTCTTAGATCTGCAAAGTTCTGAGCAGAACCCAAAATACCAAGTGGTAGGTAACAGGGAGCACAAACTACTACCCAAACTACCTCCCAATTTGCATTCTTGTGACCCCTTGCAGTGGGAACTCCCAGTTGAAAACTCGCCAGTATGATGGATACTGAGCTTCGCACCTCATCATGTTGTTAGCTAAATTGGTGGACCATGGCTTTCAGCGAAGGGTGCCAAAAAAAAACAACTGGTTGATGTTCCTTGGGGATTGATCGACCCCACTGCTGCTGCAGGATTCCAAGTCGGGCCTAAATGCCAAGCTTGCAAAAAGCGGGATGGGTCCGAAGGAGCTTCCGGAGGGGGGTGGGAGATACTGCGTGCAGGGGTAAAACAGTGAGGTTGAGGAAGGCAAACCTGTTGGGGGGGGGTCTGATTTCTAAGCAGAACGGAGGAAGAGAAAACAGACCAGATCCCATCAGCTGGCTAAAAACGAAGTTAGTCCACTTTCTTGGGACGTTGGGAGGCACGTCTGTTTGTGGCCATCCAAAGCAACTCCAAGTATGTGACGATTCATCTTACCTAAGTAAGACGAGCCACCAAGCAGAGATAAAACCATTTGTTGGATCTGGTAGAATGGTGATGCATTTTGTTAAAGGTTTTCACATGTCCCTCATCGGTTCATCCTGTATAGTCTACCTGGGTCTACCATGGTCTACCTGGATTTACCTGAAGGTTTATGTCTATTTTCCGATGAGTTAACCTAGCATGTTTGGGAATAGTTGGGGAATCCAATCCCATCTGGTGAGGGATCATCCACTGGATGTCACTGGCTAGTAAGCCTGGTTAGTGTAAGTCCCCTAGGGTTAATTCTTCCATTTATAGGTGGAGTATACCAGTATAACCCTGGTTGGTGGTTTGGAACATGAATCTTCTTTTCCATATATTGGGAATGTCATCATCCCAACTGACGAACTCCATCATTTTTCAGAGGGGTAGGTATACCACCAACCAGAACCCCACTTACTAACCGATAAATAAAGTGGCATGATCTTCCAGGTAGATTGGGATTGCACCAGGTAAGCTTGTGAATCAGGTGATGTTTGGGCACCACAGATGTCCCTTGCCCACTGGTTTCTTGATGACTAGGGAATGACCCAAAATTTGGGCAACCAATAAGAGAATTATGGTAAATGGTAAATGGGATATGCCACCCAAGGCGAGTTCTTTTCCTAGGGATGATGATAAAACCCATCTGGATCTATAAAACTGGGCGAGGAACTGGGCTTAGAACTGACAGCTATTTCATCTAACTCTACACCATCGTCTACAACTGCAAAACTAAGCGCTTACTAAAACTAAATCTATAACTATGACTAACTATAACTAACACCCTAACGGCTGTTGTAGCTGTTTCAGGACATCGTTGATACCCCAGGCCTCATGGCTTCGGGCTGCCGCAGGATTTCTCCTTCCTCCTCGAAGGTGACGCCAAGGTGACGCGGCATGCGCTGCGCTAGGGGCCCTCAAAGATGTGGGTTCATCCCCCTGCAAAGCGCATGAAATCGGACTTCATGGGATTTCATGGGATATTCATGGGATTTCATGGGATATTCATGGGATTTCATGGGATTTCATGGGATATTCATGGGATATTCATGGGATTTCATGGGATATTCATGGGATTTCATGGGATTTCATGGGATATTCATGGAATTTCATGATAATCATTGGATTTCATGGGATTTCAGGGAATTTCATGGGATATTCATGGGATTTTATGGGATATTCATGGGATATTCATGGGATATTCATGCGATTTCATGGGATTTCATGGGATTTCATAAATATTCATGGGATATCATTGGATTTCATGGGATTTCATGGGATTTCGTGGTGAGATATCCATATGATTTCATAAGATTTCATGGGATTTCATGGGATTTCATGGGATATTCATGGGATATTCATGGGATTTCAGGGGATTTCATGGGATTTTCATGGGATATTCATGCGATTTCATGGGATATTCATGGGATTTCATGGGATATTCATGGGACATTCATGCGATTTCATGGGATTTCAGAGGATATTGATGTTTCTGGCCCATGGTTTCCGGGGTGATATATTGCCTATGGGATACCGAGTGGTACCCTACCGGGATGATATATTGTGGTTGTTGCGTTCCATGATTGTCCAATTAAAGAACAATAATTGTTGGTGACATCCCATATATGCATATATATGCCATGTTCATTCAATATATATATATATATACAGTATATGTGGATATATATATATATAGATGTATACTCTATGATAGTTCATTAATATCGAAACTTGTTCCCAGCAACATCTCATTAGATCCCAGTAGAAACGCACTTTGTGCTGGTTTTAATCACCTTTTTTTCATCTGGAAACATCGCCCATTCGCGCCATGGACCACTTCGCAGGTGACAAGCCTGGAAGCCGCTACGCCTTTTGGAGCGTCTTTTGTCGAAAGAGCCATAGGATGCCATTGGATTGTCAGGTAAAACAGCAAAACTAGATAGAAACTGTCCATGTTTTAACTTAATTTAGTTATGGTTTCTGTTAATCCAATGTTTAATCAATACTCCATAGAAACCAGATAGCGATCCTTTTGGAGATGTTGGGAGTGCTTGCGATCTTCTTCATGGATAAGAGGCATGAAACGTACCTGTTGACGAGTTAATATCAGGGGTGATACTATTTGGTTTATTGGGGATTATGATAGCACATAATGTTCCATGCAGTCAAACATCGCAATAGAAAATCACCCGCTTCTACATGACTTTCCCACTAAAGCCTCTATTTATATGGGATTTCCGATTGCCACGTTTGATTACCGGAGGGTAATGGGATCGGAAAGGGGTCATGGCTCTGTTGCTACGTTATTGTCCATCCCCAAAAAGTGGAACAGTATGCAATGTCTTTTCGTTCAAATTAACAACTCAATCATGATAGCTGAAGCACCAAATCAGTTTCTACCCTACCTATATACCGGTGATGCAACCCAACAGATATGTATATATATATATTATATGTGAGTCCATTGGATACAAACGACCTCCCGCATGGTAAATTACTGCCAACATTTACATGGATTCGCTGAATGCGGCGCTTTTAATGTGTGCTTTCTTAATTTATTCCTTATTGATTAACCCACCAGACATGGGAAAACTACATCATGTTTTTTTTCCATGTTGGGGCTCCTTAAGAAAAACTAAGTTAAAACCCAAGGGTCAGAATAAAGATCGCCAAGGGACCCAATTGGACGTGTCCCTATATACCCAGTAATGCATGTTTTCATGATGATAAACCAGTAATTGAATCTGAATATGTTTGAAAGATATAATTACGTATTGGTTCACGATTTAAGATTATATACCTGTCAGTTCAATATTTGTTTTGATAGTATGCCAATCATTTTCAATCATCAGTTGATAACATACCCATAAATTGGTTGCATGTTCTTGGAAATTATATATCAATGGGAATTTCAGTACCTAAACCGGAGATACTGCAACATATACGGCCATATATTGTCGGTATATTCCTTGAAGTTAAGGGCTTACGCAGGTAGACCTTACAAAGATCAGTGCCTGTGACTTAGTTCCCTGAAAAAATCTCAGCATTGGTAATTTATGTTCACATTACCCTCTGGTAAATTAAGAATTAACTAGGTATGGAAAATCGCCATATCTCACAGGTAAATCATCTATAAATGGGAATCATCTATAAATGGTTAGTTTATCATCTATACATGGTAAATGCTACTTTATCTATTATCATCCATAATTACCATGTCTATGGTAAATCATCTATAAATGGTTAGTTTATGGGGTATTGCCAGAGGCAAAAAATCCCATGGTCATGGTCGTTACGTAGCTTTGGGGTGCTGATACCCATGGCCCATGGTGGGGTTCTTTGGTGGGCCAACTTCGAGGCGGCGACTGGACCTGCCCAGGTGATCCGTTGGGCAGTGATTCGTTGGGCAGTTAATAGTGGTTATAACCATCAGCCAACATCACTAATAACCACTATTATAACATCAGCCGTTGCTGGTTAATTTGGTTTTAGTATGTTATAGTGGTAAATCCCATGAACATCTGGATAGTATATTTAATGGAATTCTTAATGGGATTTACCCTCTGGTAAACTTACAAAAAGCTACTGAAAATGTCCATAGAAATAGTTGATTTACCCAGCTATAAAATGGTGATTTTCCATAGTTATGTTAGTTTACCAGAGGGTATCATAAACGTTCTTTAGGTACGTGACTATGTATTTCTATATATATATATACACACATGAGATACATTTCTTTGAATGCTAAAACTCTTATGAAATCTAGATTGGTTTCCGAATTCTTTGCATTGCTTCTTCTTGGTTCTAGGCGCGTTCAGTTGGTGGAAGCAAACCCGCTAATTTCCCAACCATGCTGTGCACAGTTAAAATGAACCAGCTGATGCATAGATACCCAGTTGTTGCTGATTGGTTGATACTTGTAGTAGAGGGTGGCTCTCATTGGCAAAGAATTGTAAGTGGATGTGCAGTAAAAGGTATGTCAAAGCGACCCCTCTATTTTTTACCTGGACATCATTGATACAACCAATACAACCTACGAAAAGAATTGATGAAACTAGAGGCAACGTGGTTAAGTCCCAGTTGTTGCTAGATCAAATCCATGTTTTTGCGAGTTGCCTCCAAATTCGCCAGTTCGACTAACTTTTCTGTTGACTATTCCATTGGTTCAAGCTATATACTTCCCATCTTTTGGCAATGACTTTGGTTCATCTAAACACATTCATAATATAGTAAATACACCAATTATCATGACCCTGTTTGTAGTTTCTCATTGAACGAGAACAGTCGAGAGAAACATCAAATCTATAAGTGGCGACTTGTCTTGTTTATTTGTTTGGGGGACTCTTGATTATGCAAATCCAAGTGTAGTGTGGAAGCTAGGATGTTGAACGCCAATGAGCGGTATTTGGTCAAATACCCATAGTAAAACACGAATAGTCAGATAGTCAAATAGTCAATAATAGTCAATAATAGTCAACAATAGTCAACAATAGTCAACAATAGTCAATAATAGTCAATAATAGTCAATAATAGTCAATAATAGTCAATAATAGTCAATATACAAATCCTCATAGTCAAAAAACAATTTGAACCATGATGACGGCACGCTTGCACATGAACACCTTGATGCTGGACAGCGTGCATCGAGCCCGGGGCTGCAGAGATGCTCGGAGGGGTGCCTGCTAGATGGCGCACCGCGTTTCAAGCAATCTCTTGCAGCGGCACAGAGAGTGTGTCTCGTGCAATGAAAACAGAGACAGACACAACAGCAGAAGGGCCCGCATTCGGGAGGCACCAAGAGGCTATATAATAGTCATTGGTTATATAATAGTTATATAATAGTTAAACTATTGGTTTATCCTACTAGTCATTAATAGTCAAATCCTCATAGTCAAACAACCAATTTAAACCATGGGAAATCCGACGTTTCTACCAGGAGAAGCTCCGAGAAGCCCAGCCGTCGTTCGGGATCTGACCGCACCCAGGTGCCCTAAGAAGCATCAAAAGTTTGGGGAAACCCACATAGAAAATCAGTGGTGATATTAATAATATGTAAATATGTTAATAATATTCCATGGCTTGGTGGGGAAGATTTACAGTAATGATTAGTAGTGGTCATGGTGTTTGCCATCAAATATCTGGGTAAATTTCATCACGACCTCACTGCGACCGAACCCTGGAATAATGGTTAGGATTCGGGAAATCATCCCCAAATTGCCCAACAATTCAGGTTAGTGAAATATTATAATTTACCCAGATAATCTGTAAATAGTGTATATAAAGAGGATATAACATACATACTGTACACCTGTAAATACATATGATCATATGGATCAACATATGATTGGTGGTTTCAATATAATGTTTGTTTACCACCAGCCAGCTACATCAGCGGGATCGGTGTTCCCAAAAAATGATTTCGATATTTAGATCCACTTACGAAGTATAACTACCCCAAAGATCCAAAGGAGCAGTGCCCAAAGCACCACTTGGTCCTTTTTGTTCGTGGTTTTAATGGGTTATTGTATGTTATTGTATAATCTACCTAGTTATGCAGGGATCATTATGATCCGACTGAGAAGCCCTTTTTCAACCAGCCAGTTGTTGATGTCATCCGACGCCGTGGAGCATGTATTATGGTCATATTGTTTAATGATTGATGACGTCATCATTAAACCAAAATGAGATCGCTCTTGGAGTGGGGTTGAACACCCTATATAATTGTTATAGGGTATAAATACATATAATATATAATACATATATATATAATTATATATATATAATTATATATATATAATTATATATATATATATAATTATATATATCCCCATGTAAGGATGGTTAAATCATGTTGAGTCTCCACTCGTGATGGTCTGAAAGAATTAAATCCCCCACAGGACGGGCCTTCCCCAGTTGTTTAGTTGTTGGCTTGCAATTCCCGTGAAAATATCAACCAGCTTGGCCGGACTATCCGAATTGAGGTCCCGTTCTCTATCAAAAAATCACTTGAATCATGTGAACATTTTGTTACCAGCTCCTATTGATTCCTCATTTTGATGAAAGAAATCACAGAGACATCATAAATCATTTAGATATACTTAAGTTAAGATCCTGATTTATGATGATGAAATCATATTAAATCATATTAAAATAAATTAAATCCCCATTCAATAATTCTTTGATCATTGAGAATGTTCCATCCATTTCTGGTGGATCTCCCGGGGCGCCTTGACGGCTTGACTGGAGGCCGCTTCGGCGCCGAGCCCGCGGAAAGCGGGTCCGACCAAGAAGAGGCCGCCGGTCACATTGCCACAGGCGCGGTCCGCGTCGACCGAGGGACCTGGTTGAATCGTTTTTTGCGGTTGAAACCGAAGGGTACCCGGATAGTACCCCCAAATAGCTGGTTAATGGATGGTTATTCCCCAAAAGATGGTAGGTCAAAAGACCTACTGTATATATTTTCCAACTCCATAAATTCCAGCTTGAATGAAAGGGAATAGTAGGTTTTTGGGGGGGGCTTAAGATATTCCAACCTTCATGAATTTCAGGGGTCAGAAAACGATTTGAGAGTGCTTTAGACGTTATTAATCAAAATGTTGTTTATTTTTATATTAAAAGCCTGTTGTATATGGGGTCATATTCAAATGTCTTTATAGTTATATGTATGCTTTGGTATTTTCCCAGTGGGAAATTCAACAAAGTACGGAATCTAATAGCGTTAGAGACAGAACTCGAAACATATGGCATCCAGGCCCTGTTTGTAATTTGAGTACTGGCTGCTAACCCCCTGTCGGTTCATGATTATTGTATTGTTTTTCTATTCATTTATATAGAGGGCGGCACCCCGTGGGGGAGTGAATTTTCATTAAAAATGAGGATAAAACACTGTAAATACCGATGTTTTATGCATTTTGAGGGCCTAAAACCTTAGCAAAATGCACTTTTTTCATCATGATCTTGACATGAGATATACAAAGACATTGACAGGAACCAAAAAAAACAAAAAAAACACTAGATGCACCAAACATCGACAGGCACCAAAAAAAAAAATCAGCAACTACTCAGAAGTGGACCCATAGTTCCTAGACATTTTAGGTTTTTGTTTTTTTTGGTGCCTGTGCAGGTTTGGTGCATCTAGTGGTTTGTTTTTTTTGTTGGTGCCTGTACAGGTTTGGTGACTCTGACTTCACAAAACATTGACAGGCACCAAAAATACCAAACCATTAGATGCATCAAACATCGACAGGCACCAAAAAAAAAAACAAAATTTCCAGCAACTACTCAGAAGTGGTTCCTGGAAATTTTAGTTGTTTTTGTTTTTTTTGGTGCCTGTGCAGGTTTGGTGCATCTAGTGTTTTGTTTTTTTTTGTGCCTGTGCAGGTTTTGATGATTCTAGATTGTGTATGTTTGGATCTTGGCCATATTTTAAACTGATGTTTCAAAGAAGCAAACATACCGTTATCTTTGAATAGCTATGCCACCGCACAGGTTGCTCTAAAATAATGGTTTTAAGCCCACTTTGGTCACAAAACACTGTAAATACCAGTATGTTTGACCATTTTTAAAGCAAAAATCACTCCCCCATGAAGGGCCGTTCTGGATATATATATATATACATATGTATATGTTATTGTATGTGTTTTTTTTCCTATCCATTTATATATGTATATAATAATGTATATATATATAATATAATATATATATATAATATATATATATATATTATAATATACATAATATAATATATATATATATATGTATTATATATATATATGTATTATATATATGTATTATATATATATATATATTATATAAACATTGGGGATTATCGCAATCCATGGAACATCCATGTTCAAGCAGCCATTTTGTGAAGAGACGACGGGCTGTGATTTTGTTCCGAGTTTCATGCTGCAGGGTCCCGACATCAGGTTCCAATATCTTACTATACGAAAGTTGATAGTGGATAGTTTTATACATATATATATATAGAGTAATTTATCATACTTGGCTCTATATATATATATAGAGATAGTGGATAGTAATATTTCAATAGTGGATAGGCTGTAATTGAAGAAAAAAAAGTATCATATCACAATAATAGTAATATATCATACCAATGTATGATAGTAAAAATTCAAATATTCATAGAATTGGATGATGGGAAAATTTACAGGAAAGCCCTATATTTGATGGTAAAAACCATGGTTTCCTGTAGATTTTCCCTTAAACCAATCCAATGATAAATATATGAAGATATGATAATTTGCTAATTGGTTGATTCTTTTTGGCAGGCCTTCCCTCAGAAGTCCAACAAGAGCGACTTGCGTGAGGCAGTGAGGACCCCCAGATAAAAAAAAAACCTGGATGCCGGATGCCCCAAAGTTGGAAAGCTCGGTAAAATATGGTTAAATCATGTGAAAAATCACAGTTTTCCTTGGTGAAATCGCCATTTTCCCTGGTAAACTCATCATGTTCCCGGGTAAAATCATCATTTTCCCTGGTTAAAAGACACAAGTTTCCCTCAGTTTTACCCTGATGAAAATCACCAGTTCCCTCGTAAAGTAACCCTTTTTCTGGTAGAGAAACACCATGTTCCCTGGTATTTTTTCAGAAATTGACCTATATTTTCGTCAAATCACCATGTTTTTTCGGTCGTAAAATCCTCATGTTCCTTTGTAAAATCACCCTTTTTCCATGAGAACATCATCGGTTCGATGCGAACTCGACCGCTTAGCCGCTTAGGCCTTGAGATCCCGCCCTGGGCCATGCTCTGAGACGGGCTCCAGCGTGCAGTCCGAGGTGCCGACCCGGTAGACCCGGAAATCTATGGTTTTTTTATTACAGGTGATTTAGAACTATGATTTAGAGCTATGATTTAGAACTATGAAAGTTTAGAACTATCATTTAGAACTATTACAGGTGATTCAAGCTTTTATTTGGTGGACAAAACTATGAAGAGGATATAATTATAGTGATGTAACCATAGTGGTTAATATACTGTAGAATAGATCTATTAGTGGAATAATATTTCACAGGTTGACAAAGGCTGAGACCTTGGTGAAAATACAAAATGTCAACACTTGTTCATGATTTGCCTCTCATATTTTCGCAAGCTGACGTCCTCTGTCCCCATGCTTGAAAGCTGACGCATGTATTTTATATATATAGTAGTGAAATATGATAAACTGAACATGGGAATAATCTGAAGTATGAGTGGCATATTGTTGAACAATATGGAATAATCTGGTGAGGCAACATCTGGCACTTAGGATATGTTAGGTGATTTTTTTGCAAGGAAAAATGATGAGTTAACCAGCAAAGATGGATCTATGGAATTCGGGAATTTTCATGGGATATTCGTGGATTTTTTGGTGGGAATAAATCGCCAAACAGGGGATTTCATGGGATATTGGCGGCTAAAACCTCGGTTGATTGCTGGATTATAAGTCATTTCACAATACTCATAGGGTGTTTAACCAGCAAAATATGGGATATAAGATGATATAAGTGGATATAGCTGAGAAATGATGGCTGGTTAATGATTATTACTGTCACTGAATGGGGATTATAGATGTTTTAAGCGCTAAATATATGGGAATATAAGTGATTTTTATGTTGATTGATGATTTTTGATGGTTTTTAAACCATCAAAAACTCTGATTTAATCATCAAACATATGGGTACATATATTATATACTTGATAGAGGATGGTTGGTTGATTACCCTTTGGTAAACTAACATAACTATATGGAAAATCACCATTTTTCATTGGAAAATCCACTATAAATGGCCATGTTCAATAGCTATGGTTGGTTGATTATTGTTCTTGAGATGGTGAGTTTGATGAAGACATGCCCATGGAGAAAAAAGAAGCCTTTTCCCTGTAATCCAACATGGCAATGGACAATTTCCCATGTAGTTGGACTGTTCGTGAACGATGACTTTCGCAATAGAACACCATTGAAATACCAGATTTTCAGTTGCCATGATTGATTAGCAAGGGTCCATACAGTATACCTTTTTTTTGGGGGGTGATGGACATCCATAGATTCCAGCTATTGATATGGGAGCGTGGAAGGAATTTAGGGGCACACTATGGAAACCCAAAACTGTGACGGTGCATTTTCCAAAAATGACCATTTGCGGATGTACCATGGTATAGCCCATTCTCAGCCAACGCCATATGGATACAGTACTGTCTGGCGATATATCTACAATAAATGGATTTAAACAGCAAACAAATGGGTTTGCGTAGTAACACTTGGGCTGTTTTTTTTCATATACAATTTGGCTGGGTCAGTCTGATGTAAAAGTTCCGTCGGACATTGTGGGCCTTTGCCGCCCCGGTTCGCAGGGTGTGGAGGCTACAGAAGAAGAGTGGGAACATCGAGAGTCGATGCGCGCCAAGGCTGGGAAGGGCATGAAAGGGTCATGAAACTTGGAAGAATCACTAAGAAGGTTAATTTTACAAACTGGTTGGTGGTTTGGAACATGAATTTTATTTTTCCATATATTGGGAATAATCATCCCAACTGACTTTCATATTTTTCAGAGGGGTTGAAACCACCAACCAGCAAATCCAAGTTTCAAGGTTATAGCAAGTTAGTAATGGTCTTGCTGAAGGTTCATCGAGTGTAAATAAATGATGGAACCGCTCAAGGGTAAGAACGGTTTATATTGTTAATTACATTGAATTACGTTGGTTGATATAATGGGTAATAATGATGGATTATATTCCATATTATTGGTTAACCTGGATTTGCTGTAAATGATGTGTTAGTTTTTGTTTATTTCCTGAATGGGAAATCCACTACTTTGGCAATCGTTAGAGAATTCGTTTGACTTTTTACTGTATGTGTTCCCTAACCAAATCCAAGTAAAACAACCCTTATTGATTACAGTAGTTGATATAGGGCTAATTTGTTGTAGGTATACTAGCTGGTTGCTGGGGATTCTGGCATAGTCTAGAATTGACGGAACACCTATGAATCAACCAGTCTTTCAAGGGGATGAGCATGGATAGGGTACGTTTCCTGGCTCATGTGCTCCAAATCCACCATCAATGGTGTTTTACCCAACAAAGGATGATTATTCAATCAGCAGAAAATGACAATTTAACCAACAAAGGGGTTTAACAAACAAAGTGGAGATGAACATAGATGAACCTACGAACTACGAACATGGAATGTTGATCAGTTAAAATGGTGATTCAAACAACCTAATGCAACCCAATCTGTGTCAATAACCTGATATAATCGGGCAAACTGACTGGTGAAGGGTAGTTCAATCACCGTAAAGTATGGTTGGGTTACTGGAGCAATCGCGACAAATTTTGAAGATGTCGATGACGATGTTGAACTGACCTTGGAGTTCAAAGGCGTACTACATCATCACCATTATTACTGGTTGGTGGTTTGGAACATTTTTTATTTTTTTCATATATTGGGAATAATCATCCCAACTGACTTTCATATTTTTCAGAGGGGTTGAAACCACCAATGGCAGTGAGACCAACCTGAATGCTCTTGAAGATCCAAGATACTGGGCAACAGTGACAGGTCCTACCTGACTAGAATCCTTTCAAGGGTTCGAAGGTTCTTGGATGATTTTTGGGACCAAGTGATATACGGTCTTTCCGTAGGTTTTCAGTGTCTCAAAGGAGCTGTGACAGTGCCAATCGAACAATCATGGTCTTGCTGAGACAAAAACTTTGTTCGACCGGCCCCAAGGGCCATGTTGAATGGACATCCATGTTTACCGTTTCAGTTTCCCAATTCACCTCCAAATCGAAAAGAAATAACACACTATATAAAAAGATACACAACTTATATATATATAAGTTAAGTTATAACGTGCCCTAACATAAGTGTTCATGATTTCAACATAAGTTCCGTAACTCAATTTATAACTTCATAACTTCAAGTTAACTTACGGGCACCATCCTGTATTAAAGATGGTGGTTTTCCATAGGGAACTCTTAGTTTACCAGAGGGTATATGAAGTAGTTGTTAAACCAATTTATACATCAATTCACCTATCTAGAGGGCTTCCTGTAGTCAATGACTATGAATGGCGATGGTTGGGTAAGCTGACCGGTGGTAGTTTAGTGTTGGAGTGTTTGCCCACAAAAATGGTTTCGGTTTAATCCAGGAAACTGGACATGTCCGTCCCATAGAGAACTGTTTAAACATCTGGTGAAGGATCAACTATCAAACATACGGGTTTGGAACCAACAAAAGGGTAGTTTGATACTTTGATTTCTACCTTAATTAGGAAACCATACTAAGCCAGCTGGTGTTTTGGAGGCTAACTATCTGAGACATTTTAAAGTGGTCATGTTTGGATGTTAATTACTCGTTGCATGGGGTGTGCAACAATGATTGAATGAAGCGAATTTCACACACGGTGTTCTTTTTAGTGGGTTGATATTCAGACAGTTACCGTTCGTATAAATTAATGAATGTTTATCAAATGGAACGACCTGTTTATAGGTAATGTGTTTATTGCATTTACAGGTGTTGTTCCATGTCCAATTATAGTTTGACATGGACAGAAATGGACCTGGAACCCAGCGAAAAATGCCCGAGCAAAGCCTGCTATGTGAGGGCCCCATTTTACGAAATCGCTTGCTAAGTTGGTGAAAATCACTTGAGTAAACTTTAATATAACTAGGGTTTCTGGTAAGTATAACAAACTACATAGTTAATGTGGTAAACCATGGGAAGCACCAATTTTTTCATAGACCAAATCAGAGGATGGTTTATAGCACCGTATACCACCCATGTATGTGTAAAATTTGGGAATGGTTTATGATTGAGTTTACCACATTAATATGGGTTTATGTTTGCACTTATACCTCTGGGTCCCCACCTCAAATCCTGATCAGTGGGTTGGGAGCCGCACAGGAATTTGGATACTTTCAAAACTTTGAACGATCATATCTCACCCAAATTTATGCACAATTTGCTGAGTCGTCTTGTGACTTTTTATCAGCAATCAACATTTCTGCTGTTGGGTGTAACCCCCTCAAGAAATTAACGCGGGTTTATCACTGGTAAGAATATTTTTTGGAAAACAGCGTTGGTTCCACTGAAACTTTATCAACTGGGATTTGCTGATTCCGCGATTTCAAAAATCTAGATATGATAGCGTTACTTATCGTCACTTACTAATTCGCATGCTCATCATTCAAATGGCATGGGGACGACATTTGCTTGCACAATTAGATGTTCTTCCGGACGGAAAACATGTATTCGGTTGGCGGTTGGTGTTTAAGTTTGGTTTTGCCGATACGAAACGATTTGTTGTATATATGTATATATGATATGCGCATGTTGTTCATGCACTGTATACATGAAATATTGACGCGTAGCGACCTGGAGATGTCATAATATGTCATACGTGTATCTGGATGGATTATAGCCATGCAAAAGGATGTTCTTTGATGGATCCATATTCCAGATGCTGAGGATATTTGCCACATAAGATCTATGTTTTGGGATTTTGATGGATCTATTTGCCACATAAGACCCGTTCGCTGAGGAAAACGAGTTACGCAACGAACCTATAGATTCATGAAGATCAACTAAAATGACCCATGTATATAGCATTATATAGCCATGTATACCCTTAAATGCATCCATCAATATCCATCAATATCCATGGACAACGTGCTCTTTAGTATCATGTAATCATTGTAGTAATCATATTAAATATCCATTATATAAAACATATTGAATATATCCAGATGAAACCATTCATTTTTTTTCATATAATATCCCATGATAGTAGTGCTTGGAATGTTCGGACTGGACCGCCCGGAAAGCCGTTAAAGCCAGCCGGCTGATTGGTGAGGCGGTGGCACAATGCGCTGGCCTCAGGGAAAAAGAACTGCAAAGTCAAGAAATTGGTGACATAGTTATTGACTTAACATCAAGATTAGGGATACTTTGATACATGATCAAATTCCCTTTGGAATCTAGGTAAATGACAGTTATGAATTTATCAGGTTTGACGCGTTTCCATGGCTAGTTCCACCTGGAATCACTCGAATCCCAGGTAAGGCATCTCCAGAGTACCAGAGGCGCGGGAGTTTGGGGCGGTCAGATGCCTGAAATGCGGTTGGACAACTCTGCGATGAACCGTGCAAATGATACCCAGCTGTTGATTGATTGTGAAATAAGGAGTGTGATGCCTGGTAACATGGCAACTGAATTTCACTAAATGCATCATATATTTCCGTTTTTCCAGTGTGTAAAAAAAAAAAATGCGATTTGCTGTTGTTTTTCTTTGTTTGCCCCAGACTAAGGCAGCCTATTCGTTTGAAGTTCTGCTGATTGATGGTCCATCAAAGTGGCATATCCTACTCATAACATAACATTTCTGGTTGGTGGTTTGGAACATGTTTTATTGTTCCATATATTGGGAATAATCATCCCAACGGACGAACTCATATTTTTCAGAGGGGTAGGTCAACCACCAACCAGATCTCATAACCAGGTACAGGCTACTTGCACGCACGCAAGGATTCTGCCCGGAAAAATAAAACACTGTGGACCCATCGAGAATTGGACAAGCGGATCAGGTCTGCTTCCTTTGCTGAATTCCAGGCATCTAAGAATGACACCGAACATTTCCTCACGATGTGGGATAAACCACTAGCTAAAGTGGTAAAACTACTATATATATATGTATATTATATATATATATGTATATTATATATATATATATTATAGATATAACATTATATAACATGCAATTAAACGATATAAAGAAAGTGGTAAACCGAGGTGTCAACGCCTGCGCACTGGGGCCGATTCGGAGCCACTGACTCCGAATCACGCGGTGCGCGGGGGGATTTCCGGGCGGCAACAAAGGAAATGGGTCAAACATTGTGTCC